GCCGTGTTCTTGGGGTTCCCACCCAACGTGTCCAGGACAGTGTGAATGCAGCCATTGTAAGCAGGGGAGGTCACCGTTCTCTCCTATCTATATAGCCCCTAAATTCCATGTCATCCCTCTAGGCTGGAAGAAAGGGGCTTTGAATCTAGCGGCCATGGGCCCTATATCCCGCTGGCTCGATGGCCAGGGCCCCCAGGTGCAGGGCCCGACTCTGCCTGAGCAACGTCTGCCACCCACCAGATGACACTAATGTGCCCTGCCTGAGTGTTCCTCCTAACACACAGAGCTGTCACGCTTGGCTGCATGCCAGAGTCCCCAGCTGCCTCACCTGTACCCTACACCTGGGCACATGCAACAGTTACGTGGTTAAGAAGGGAGCGGCCCTGGGCCGGCCCGGTGGCGCACTGGAGAGTGCGCCGCTTGGGAGTGTGGGGGCGCTCCCGCCGAGGGTTTGGCTCCCATGTGGAGACCGGTTCCCGCTCACTGGCTGAGCGCGGTGCGGGCGCAACACCGAGGGTTGCGATCCCATTGCCGGTCAGTAAAAAAAAAACAAAAAGGAAAAAAAAAATAGAAGGGAGCGGCCCGGCCAAGGGGGGCCAGAGTGCTGGTGGCAGCCAGACCTGAGTCTAAAAGCCTTGGTCCTCCAGTCACTATGTGCATTGTCTGAATATCTGCATCCCCCCCAAATCCTGTGTTCAAACCTCACTCCCAAAGTGATGGTACTGGGAGATGGGGTCTTTAGAAAGTGACCAGGTCATGGGGGTAGAGCCCTTATAAATGGGATTCGTGCCCTTATTAAGAGAGGCCCCAGCAAGCTTGTCTGTCCCTTCCACTATGTGAGCAACAGTGACAAGGCGCCGTCTATGAAAGCATGCCCTCCCCAGACGCTGAGTCTGCTGGTGTCTTGACCTTGGACTTCCAGCCTCCAGAACTGAGAGCAATAAATGTCTGTTGTTTCCCAGCCACCCAGTCTATGGTATTTGATTATAGCACCCCGAACAGATTGTCACTGTGCAACCCCAGGCAGGCTATTCGACTCCTCTGAGACTCAGCTGTAAATGGGGCATTCTGTGAGGACGACACGGGAGAGCCATGTAAGCACTTAGCCCAGGGCACAGTAGGTGCCAGGAAGTGGCAGCCATGGTCTCCCAGCTCTGCACATGCTACGGTGACACCCGCTCCCTGTACCCATGCCCCAGGCTGGGCAAGCACCTCAGCTCACAGGGCCCTGGGATGCCCTGCCCAACACCAGGAGGCTCCCGTCTCCACAGTGAGCACCACGTGTGGCTTCCCCAGAGGACTGTGACAAGTGACAGTGTGTATGGAAACAGGGTCCCAGGGAAAATGGAAGCCACTGGGTCTCCGTGGCCAGGCTGGGCACTGAGCTCCCTTCCGAGTTAACTTGAGGACAGCGGTCCACAAACAGCCATTTGGACCACAATTGGTGCCTGGCAAGGGCCACTGCTTCCCAGGGGAAGAGGCGAAGGTGTAGGCAAGAGGGGCACAGTGGCTCCAGTCACCACCACAGCCCCAACGTGGCCCTTTCCCCAGGCTTGGCAGTCTAGGCTTCATCCCCACTGGAGAATGACGTCCTGGAGAGGGTGGGCAACTGTTGGAATGAGCCCACCTCAGTTCCCCCTGCCATGCCCGCCCTGTGGCCACCTGCTTGTCATCATTGGACAACCCTCGCCCCATCTCTCTGCCTCAGGCATGGCCCAGGCTGCAGCTCTCAGGACAGGCTGGCACATGTCTGGGCACCGCCAAGCACAGTGACAATTTTCACTTGACACCAACTAAGTGCCCGCACCAGGCTAGGAGCTCCAACACAGCAGCTCACATCACCTGCACAGACTGCAGCCCAGTCTCCAAAAGGAAGGAAGCCAGGCCTGGAGCCCAGAGGCCTGGGTCTGATCCCACAGCCTCCGTCCGCTGCGAGGCTGCGGCAAGCGCTGGCACCTCCACGTCTCATTGCGGAAGCAGGTGATGACACCCACCCACAGGATGCTGTGAGCATGAGCCATAATCCTCTCTCCTCTGAGTGGGAGAGAGCACGCGAGGACCTAGCACAGGCCTGACATGGGGCAGATGCTTACATAGGAGCTGTTATTTAATTATGTGACATTTGATTATGTCCCTTGGTGGCCGGTTTCGAGTTCTAATAACATGTTCAGTGTAAGACAGCCAAGCATTCTGTTCCCAAGACCACAGAAGGTCAGAGCAGGAAGCATCTCAGAAGACTCACATGTCACCCTCTCCATTCTACAGATAAGAAAACTGGGCTCAGAAGAGCTGAGTCCCGGCCCATCCCCGACGGGGGAAGACACAAGGTGAGCGCCCAGCGCCTCCTGCCATCTTCTGTCCCGTGGAGCACAAACGCTCTGAACCCAGTGTAAGGGGAGTGAGCGACTTGTTTGTAACACGTAGGTTTCCGGGACGAAAAAGCATGTCTTTATTCACAGCCGAAGGTCTTGTTTATTATTTCACGCGGCTCTTTCGGCACCTTTAGTTAGCAACATCCCAGGCACTTTGCAGAGAAACAGTGAACAAAAGATTTCCCGCTCTTGCGCTTTCTTTCCCGTGGTTCTCAGCACAAAGCTTTCTTCCCCGGGGCCACCTACACAAGCAGGCACAGCTGCCTTCCCGTGCCTTTGAGCTGCCTCACGCTGGTCTGCAGAATGCACGAGAGGACACTGCTTCTGGGGGGCGGTTTTCTAACAAGGGCAGCAAATCAAATGGATCTTTGTACAACCCAAGCCAGGGTGGCTTTCAGCAGACACAGTTCCAACCTGCGTCTCCCTGTTGCAAATCCTCACACGGCGACCGTAGCTTTCAAAGGAGGACAAGTGTGAAGTCCCTGTTCAAAGACTCTGACAGGTGCAATTAAAGGTTCTGAGGGGCTGTGACTCAGTGGCAATCAATGTCTGGAACCCCCCCTCCCTGGTGGGGTTTATTTCTTAATCCTCTATAATGCTCATTCCTTTAGAAAATGCCACCTAAGAAAGAGGTGGGTGCTGTGTGTGTTTGTTAAGAATGGAGATTGTTCTTTGCTTCATTGAAAAGGAAGTCAAGCAGAAGGAAGGACAGGACCAGAGAAAACAGATGCGGCAAACCATTCCTCAGGAGCGGTCAGGATATGTGACTGGGAATCCTGGAAGATGCACCTAGGGTCACACAAACGGCCATCCTCTGCACGCTCTCTGGTGTTTGGGGATAGAATCTACAGAGTAATACACCATCATTTTCTTCCGAATTATTTTCTAAAGCATTCCACACATTTTTAGGCACGAAGTCACTTATACTCACAAAAAAACAATAGTTTATTCTTAATCCTATGTTGGACCTAGGGATCACAATGTGTTTGTCATTCAGACACTTTCCATTAAAAACTATGGGTAAATTTTTAAGATTATGGGAAATATATTTTTCTAGGTTTTCTTATATGTAATAAGGGAGAGGATGTGAATGATCTCTAAAAATGGTAAGCAATGCTTCCAGCTCTTCCCTCTCTTAAAATCAAATAAATACCAATCATTGTCGTCTCAGCCCAGCACCTACACTAACTCGGCAAAATCCAGAATCCGCCACCGGCTGATGAGCTGTCAAAGGTGGGAGAATATGAAAAGTGCATTTGTCAGACACCAGCAAAGGCATCTGCTGTCATAAAAACTGTCTGACCTCTCATCCCCACCATGAGCATATTTGTTGAGGAACAAAGCCACGGGAGTGTAGGTCCTTCCTAAAACAATGGCCTGCTTGAACCCAGTGCAGGTAAAAAGAATTCCACCCATTTCTTTCTAAAACCAACATCAAGGCCAAAATGTTATTTCATTTTACAGTTCCTCTGGCTCCTGGCCAGGGCAAGAGGACAGATGGAGGCCCAGCCTTCAGCCCACCCCCCTGTCCTCCCACCTCCAGCTCCAGCCCTCACCTGGGCACAGGCGTGTGGACACCCCAGCCTGCAGGGCAGCCCCAGCCTCGGCTCCCCCTCAGGCAGAGTCTGCTCCCAGGAAGATGGGCTGGGAGATGAAGACGCCATGGACCCTGAAAGGGGCTGCTCGCAGGTGTCCAGCAGTGGTCTAGAAGGGAGCTGGCCCTGCAGACTCCTCATCACATGGGGAGGGCTGTGGCCCGAGGCAGGTCACATCAGGGTCCTCTAAGGTGTGGGGCCCAGAGCCACCCAGGTGTAAGGATGTACCACCTGGCCCCTGACCAGCCTGGGGGGCCACATCTCCTTCCAGGCCTCATATTTAACTTTCATGCTAGAGTTGGTCTCATCCCCTGGTGCTGGTGTACCTGGGGGCTGTACACGGAGAACACTAGCCATGTGGACAGGGCAGGAGGGGAGGAGACCTGCCCCACGTGACAGTAATCACCAGGTCTAAAGGGTACACGAAGGTTTTCAGCACACTAGGGGAGAACCGATGTGGGGAAGTGATAAGAAATCAGGTAACACGAGGGTGGTGAGGAACAAAAGCACCACCGTGGACTGACTGAGCATCTACCTCTCTTTCCACCCACTTCTGATTATCTTCAATCCTCAAGCTTATGGGGCTATGTTCCTGAACACACATGTAGATTCACAAGGACTGTCCAGGACCAATGTTCTATAAGAGCCAGAAGCCAAGACCATGCTGGAAACTTCTGAGACCCACTTGTCCCCCCACCCCCACCCCAATCCTTCAAGTGAAAGGTGCCCAGAGCTAAATGGGCAGTTTCATCAGAGCCTCCCCTAAAATCTGCAAAGCAAACAGAATAATCCATTCTATCTGCTCACCCTTAGTTTTCATGGAAACCTGCAGAACACATAAAACACAGCACAGAGCCCAGAGGCCCAGGGGCTGCAGGCTGTGGATTGTCTAAGGAGCCCACTGTCCCTCGGCCCACTTTGGGTGGTGTCCCCCTCTAGCCCTGCCCCAGGGGGAGTCACTGCAAGCCTCGCTCGGGACTCTCAGCCACTGGGCTGCTCAGGAACTCCCCAGGAAGCTCCTGGTCTTGGTTACCTGGTTCTTCCGGGGGTGGCGGTGTGCTGACCTCAGGTTCTGGGATGACTTCAGGGGGTGGTGGGGGTGGGGCTGGTGGAGCTTTGACAGGGGTCGTTGATTCCGGGGTCTCAAATGCTTCTTCAGAGTCAGAACTCCTGATAGAGAAAGAGGGAGAGAAAGTCAAGTTTAGACAGGGGCCAAGGGCCAGTTCTGCTGTGCACTGTGTGGCCTTTTGGCCCTGGAACAAGTAGATTTGGGCTCACTGCTCAATTAAACTGTTGGAGGACTGACGTGAGGAAGGTCGTTTTGTAGCATGATCTCCAAGGGTGAATCTTACCACTGGCTTTGACTGTGCCCAGACGATGTATTCTTTGAACTCAGCTTTACTGAAAACACATACTTCTTGCCTTAGTGCAAACACACACACTGTGAAGTCTACTGATGAACTGGCACTTGTTATTTGGCACCGACATTCTGCAGGATCGATGCCATGGTTCCAACCCACCGAAAGGATCCCGACCCATGAAAGTAAGTCCCGTTCCCACCCCGCCTGTCACTCTCCCCACCACCCTGCCTTCTCAGCGCTGCTCAGAACTCGCTGGTATAGGCTGTCCACCTTAGCACTTCTCATGACTTGTTAGTAGAGATTTATTTGCTTTCTAATCGTGTTTATTATCTTTCTTCTCTGCTGAGCTGACAAAGCCGTGAGGGCAACTGGCCTGGATGATCACAGCCCCACAGTCCACACACAGAGGCAGGGAGTCAACAGCTGCTGACTGAATGAGCGGAATGAATGAACGAAAGCCCGCCAGCCAGCCAGCCAGAGGGGGTGCCAGCCCAGCCACAAAGCACGGCCCACCGAGCCCGACAGTGTGAAAACGGCCCTCGCTCATCTGTAGGAGGAAGGCTGCTTTCGAGGGAGATTCCTCACCCAGAAGGCTGGACCAAAAAAAATCCACCCAGAGAAGCCCCACCCAGTGATGAGGGAAAGCCACTCACCAAACTGAAGTGGGTGGCTAAAGAAAACCCAAGCAGACAGCCATCCTGTGTCACCTGCTGCCACTGCTGCTCGGTCTTAGCCAGGAAGAGCGAGGCTCCTCCAGCACCCAGCCAGCTGTGCGTCCTGCAGGCTGGGAGGCAGCTCCTCACCTGCTCCAGACACCCAGTGGCCCATGGTCCTGGGTCCAGCCTCACCTCTGAGACGGCCAGCGTGGCGGCAGCAGCAGCCGCTGGGCTGATTCCCATCTCAGAGTCGTTGAAGTGAACTAAAATACCAATTTATCCATCTGCAACAAGCTAGTTAATTATCAAGAGGGCGAACACTTAGGATTACTGATTGGCACAAACAATCCCAGAAGGCGAATCTGGTGAAAATGTAATCTCAGGGCAGGTGAGTATGGAACGTGACAGGGTGTGCCAGGCCACACTGGTGTCGCTGAGCCTCGCAGCCCAATACTGAGACATTTACGCTGCTGAGCTCCCACAGGGTCAAAGGACCAGTGACCTCGGTACAGGTCACCATCTTCTGAAGACCATCAGCCAGAGAGCTGCAGGAACCACACCAATCCCTGCACGATCCGCTGGGACTACAAAAAGGGGCTGCTTGGTGAGTTCCCTTCAGAAAATCTCCATCAATAGTGCTCTGACAACTTGGTTGTCAGTGACTCACTTCACCTGTGCCAAAGATTCCCCCTACCACACTCCCCACCCCAAGGACCTCGGCTCCTCCAACCAGCCACAAAGCCCTCTGGGACCCAAAGAGATAAATAGAAACATCAGAGCACCCTACCCCACTCCCCACCCCGAGAACCTTGGCTCCTCCAACCAGCCACAAAGCCCTCTGGGACCCAAAGAGATAAATAGAAACATCAGAGCTGCTTTTGATGCGATCCAATGAACCAAAGCCTGCATATTATGTTTCATGAGTAAATACTTAATTCACAAAAACACAACAGAGGAGACACTGACTTTTTACAAATGCACATTAATATTAAAGGGTACAGCTTTTGTCCATGGGGAGAACTTAAGATCCACACTTGGACAACAGATCTAGGTGTCTGAAGTTTTGCAGAGTCTATTTATCAGTAAGAAAAATACAAGGGGGGAGCTAAGCTAAGCAGCAAAGAACAATGACGTTTGGATCAGCCTGTGGGCCCTGGGGCTAGTCCTGGGGACCCAGTTTCCTCACCCCTCAACCGCAGCACCACACGCTCAGGGGGCTACGTTGTCAAGATGCACGGAGCCAACTTGCCTCTGTCCAGAGCTTCCTTGAAGGACAAGTAGACTAGAGTCTCCACTGCTGGTCACTGCTGTCCACATCCACCGGGCCCATTCCACAGGGGACCATATCGGCCAGGAAGCAAAAGCCATCTCTGCTGAAGAACAGCCTCTGTCCACCAAATCCCCAACCCTTATTTCCTTGCTGGTACCTCTGGAATCTAAATCTCTTTAGATGTCACCAAAAAAGTGAGCTGCACCACCAGCCACAGACACTGTGAGCTTCTCCAGTGTGCGGAGGCCCCAAGATGCGGAGGAGGAGACTGAGTGCTGGTCCCCTGGCTTCTGCGTCCCCCGCACTGGCGATACACGGCTTTAGAGCACAAAGGGCCCTGCTCTTTCTCAGCAGCACAAGCAAGCAACAGGGAGGGCCGGATGCTCTTGGCTCCTAGCTGCTGAATTCCAATGAGGTCCCTGAGGCCGCAGCTGCCCAGCCTGCACACCTGCTCAAAGGGACCCCCATTTCCCACTGCCGCTGTCAGGGTGCAGCATGTGGGGAGGGCCAGGGCACACCAAGCCCCTTTGTGGTCCCTTGACTGTTTACTATGAGCTATTTCTGAGTCAAAACACCAGGGACCACCGTAGACCACAAGCATGGCATTCACTTCCGGTGCTGCCTGCCTGTTGTTGTATTTCTGTACCCTCTCCCAGGAGCAGAGGGCACGTTAATTAGAGGAGGCGGATGGCAGCTTTTTTAAGTAGCTCTTTTTTTTCCCTATTCAGTTTCCCAGGGAATCAAATATGTTTCCAAGAGCAAGGATTTCTGCAGTCCACCCACAAAGAGTTTGTACATAAAAATAAAGCAGCATTGTGGAGTCCCAACGCATAAAAGCAATTCCTATGGGAGTTTGATTTTTTTTTTCCTACTAGAGGAAACTACAAGAAAGTACAAGATAAAATTCTGTTAAGGGTCCACACACTTTAAAAACAAAAAAAAGGAAATTAACTTAACTTGCCAAGAATGTGTATCAGAGAATTGTCACTATAATCTGCTAAAATATCTTTAAATCATAGGAAAATACATTTATTAGGGTATGCATCTGCTATGTTCACCGTATAAATAAATATGCAAATACAATAAAATATAAATATTTCTATAGTGTAAGCAGATAGTTCTTAATGGCCAGACATGAAATACGTTGATTTTTAATTCTCAGCATGAAAAGAATGATCATAGCTACCATTTGTTAAGCATTTTTTAATGTACTGGGCACTGGACTTGGCCCATTTGTACGCTTATCTGTAATCTTCAAAAATGTCCTGCCTGCTGCAGAGCAGGACCATTTTACAAAGGAGAAAACTGTGGCTTAGAGGAGCAAATTACTTTGCCCAAGGCCATCTACTTAGTAAATGATGGAAGCCAGGACTCAAATCCAGAGCTGTCTGCCTTAGTTCAGTTGGTTAGAACATGGTGCTGATAACACCAAGGTCCAGGGTTCGATCTCTGTACAGGCCAGCTGCCAGGAGAAAAAAAAAAAAACCAGAACTGTCTGCCTCTAAAATCTGTGCCCTTTTTACTACATCGGCACCCTTCAAATGTTTGTAGCAAGCTTAATTTATAACATGTCCTTATTATAAAGTCTATCATGGAGAGAAATTAAACTGGATGAACTTGAAATGTGACACAAGGGGCTTGGAGATGTCAACTGCAGCATTACACCTGTTGATTTCTCTCCTGTTTACACATTACTAGGGAAGCCTTGGTACATATCAATGAGTAATTACAAACAGCCCCTGTTTTTTAATAGCTTGTCCTGAGATCATGGGATATTCTTTAATAAGGCAGATGGATTTAGGGTATGCATCTGCTATGTTCACCGTATAAATAAATATGCAAATACAATAAAATATAAATATTTCTATAGTGTAAGCAGATAGTTCTTAATGGCCAGACATGAAATACGTTGATTTTTAATTCTCAGCATGAAAAGAATGATCATAGCTAAGCATTTTTAATGCATTTGTTAAGCATTTTTTAATGTACTGGGCACTGGACTTGGCCCATTTGTACGCTTATCTGTAATCTTCAAAAATGTCCTGCCTGCTGCAGAGCAGGACCATTTTACAAAGGAGAAAACTGTGGCTTAGAGGAGCAAATTACTTTGCCCAAGGCCATCTACTTAGTAAATGATGGAAGCCAGGACTCAAATCCAGAGCTGTCTGCCTTAGTTCAGTTGGTTAGAACATGGTGCTGATAACACCAAGGTCCAGGGTTCGATCTCTGTACAGGCCAGCTGCCAGGAGAAAAAAAAAAAAACCAGAACTGTCTGCCTCTAAAATCTGTGCCCTTTTTACTACATCGGCACCCTTCAAATGTTTGTAGCAAGCTTAATTTATAACATGTCCTTATTATAAAGTCTATCATGGAGAGAAATTAAACTGGATGAACTTGAAATGTGACACAAGGGGCTTGGAGATGTCAACTGCAGCATTACACCTGTTGATTTCTCTCCTGTTTACACATTACTAGGGAAGCCTTGGTACATATCAATGAGTAATTACAAACAGCCCCTGTTTTTTAATAGCTTGTCCTGAGATCATGGGATATTCTTTAATAAGGCAGATGGATAAGGACAGCCACCTAACAGCACAAACCAGATTAACCTATCAGCACAAGGCAATAACTGGTGATATCCCATACCACATGGTGAGGTGTACACAGACAAGAAGGGACGATAGGACAGCCACCTAACAGCACAAACCAGATTAACCTATCAGCATAAGGCAATAACTGGTGATATCCCATACCACATGGTGAGGTGTACACAGACAAGAAGGGACGATAGAAATGTGCCACCCAAGTGTGGACAGACGGTGCTAGCCACTGAAACCCAAACCTGCCGAGCTCCCCGACTGTGTGTTAGGACAGTTTAAGAAT